AGGCAGCCTGCTCCTGCTTTTTACGTTCCAAGCCAGCAGCAAAGCAGCGTGCTGGTCCAAGAAGCCACGAGCGAGGACCTTCTGCGCGCACTGCTCAGGCGCTCGCCCTAGATGGGCACAGCACCACCCTAGGGATCGGACGGCCTCCTAGGTTCTTGACTGCAGCCTTACTTCCCGTTGGCGATGGTAAGCCTATGGTTAGCCTCTAATCTTCGGCTTTTGGCTGTAATGTTCAGCTCCCTTCCAGGGTGGTGCCAGGAATCGCCATTTATAATGGCTGGACAAAGTATCATACGTAGCTGTAGTCAGCCCAATTCATAATTCTTTTGCATGCCCACAATACTTTAATTCATAATTCACCACTTGTGATGGTTGAGCCCGTCCTGTGCATAAACGTGTACATTTTGCTCGCCTTTAATTCATAATTACTGCATTCTGCTCAATGCATTTAATGGATGCATGCGTGCAAAACCACTTTGGAGAAGTGGAGGGCTGAACGAGACAGCAAGCACTGTCGCGAACAACAGGAAACAAAAATAGCGCAGCTCTGTGTGTGATGCGCGCAGCACTGGCTTCTTCGCTGTCTTCAAAGAGAACTAGGAACTGAAGTGTTATTTTAAGTGTCGTTGATCCGTGTGTTCGTTAGTTCTCGGTTCAAAAACAGGCGGAGTGATCTAGGCTGCCCACACCACATGAAGCGCGCCCACGGAGTGCTCTCACATCCGGACCATGCAACAAACAGTACTAGACAAACAAATGATGCTTCGGTGACAACGGTCGGTGATGATGCTACGACAGCAGTCTGTGCTTTAGATGAAACCAGTGTCGACGAGGTCGATGTTGATCATGATGAAGCAGATGTTGTAATGCAAACAAGTGCGCTTGGGCTAGATTCGGGGTCACTACTGCAGTTGGCGAATGCTTTAGGAGTTGACAGGAGAGTGACCCCAGTAGAGACCTTGGCTTATAGCATACTTTGTAAACACAGACGAGGACAAGAAATCACCAAAGCTCAAATGTTGGAAGTTTGGGAGGTGTTTCCGAGGTCCTATCAACAGCGTCATGTTTCGGCCAATGATAGTAAAGGCAAGTTGGTACTCTTTGGAGCAAACCCCAGAGCACAAGGCTCCTTCACTAAAGCCTCTCAGGACATGCCTCACACTCATGAACTCATGGTAACGTTTGCTAGGCAGCTTTGCCCTCAGTTCGAGTTCTCCTGTTTTTCCCTTCGTCAAAACTGTGCCACTCAGCCTCACAGGGATATCAGGAACGTGGGCTTCAGTCTTATCCTGTCGCTGACTGCTCATGAGAGGGGTGGGGGAATTTGGATGGCTGATTCGACAGGGGATGCCTTTCAGGAATTTGATGGAGTTTTGGTTCCAGGGAAGTCCCATGACATCTCGGTTCCTTTCACTTTCAGAGCAGGGGCTGTTCTGCATGCAACGCAACCGTGGAAGGAGGCTAAGAGAGTCGTGTTTGTCGCTTTTCGGACTTTGAGCGCTATACATGCTTCTAAGGATTATTCATTTCAGAGTCGCATCCCTGACTTTTTCGGTGTGGCCTCGGAGTGCAGGTAAGTTGATTCGGAAGCCAGGAATTCATAGCCCAAATTCATGTGCCAACTGCAGCTGCCCTGCATGGATTCTGTTGCATTGAATTTGTAATTTGTAATCTGCAGTCTGCATGTAATTGCGTTTTGCAAGCTAATTGGTAATTAGGGTTGCCCCTGCCAAATGCTGCTGCCAAGGTTTCCGTTTCATCTTTGTCTGTGGTGATGCAGTAACACAGAAGGACCAATCATATACCCCAAAAAACCAAGAAATAGGTGCCCGTTGCTGCCCCACTCCACTGACTGCCTCCATACTGCCACTGTCCACGCCGACCGACCACTGCTAGCTGGGTTAGCTGAATACTTTAGCCTATGTTCCCCAAAATTAGTTTTATTCTTATGGGTTATGTTGCTCTGGGATCCTCCCTTTCTTAAGTGAGCTTTATTCCCGGTTTGAGAATGAATACTAGGCTATGGTTGAAACCTCGCCCAGCGCTGATGCAAAGAGCCATGGAGTTGTTTCTCTGGTTGACTGGCCGCTTCTCTGGCTGGCTGGCTTTTGCAACATTGCCTTTACTGGATATACTTGAAAAAGGTTGAGGAGATGCGGGAAAGCTGTCTTTCTTCAACATGACGGGTCCAGGCAGTGCTACAGTGTCCATCGGCCCGACAAAACAATTAAGGTGCTATTGTTGCTGATGAAGCGCAGTTTTGGCACCATTTACGTCCTGGCCTTTGCCATTTATGTCCTGGCTTTTGCATTGTCCGGGGTCCATGGGATTCAGCAGAAGTGGTGAGTTGACCAGCTGGAATCAACGGACTGGACTTCTGGCCACAGAGAAATGAGGGAACAGAGGAGGATGCTTTTGGTTTCTGGTGTAGCGAGCTTTTTTCTGGTCGTGACACTACATGTCTGATGAGACCAACAGGCCCGTGGCCTGAACTATGAAAAGCTTGCTGGGTTGGAAACAACATAGCATCTACTGGGACATGCAACACAAAGGACTGGTGCGAAGTCAATTGGGCGTACGGCAACCAAGCAAGAAGTGACAGAGTCGAGTGACAGGAAGGCAACAAACAGGTTTGTGATGACTTTGAGCCTGCGGATCTGAGGGAATTTAACCGGCATTTTGCTGACAAAGCATGTTGTACTCCATCGAACTGATTGGAGCAGGAAGATCCTGAAATATGGGATCTTCTCTTTCTCAACTCTTCAACATTTCAACCTCATATCGAACCTCGCCGTGAGTATAGACCTCATTCATGCGAGAGGGAAAAAACCCTAAACCCTAAACCCTAAACCCTATCCTCTCAACGGAAACAGGTCCAGGAGCCCCAAGAGATCCTGTCCCTTGGCTTCCGCGCAGGGTTTGTTTGGGCTCGCGTGGTCTTATGGAGGCTTTAGGGCTTTGGGCTTTGGGTTTACGGCGGCTGTGTAGCGTCATGTAAGGTTGCTGGAGGGTTATTGATGGGTTCCAGGGGTTTTGTTTGGAGGGAGTGGAGCTCTGCAGGTTTATAGTGTTTTGGGACCAGGTCCATGATGGGCTACGAATTTATACATACCCACCTTCGAGTACACGATCTGCTGCTCATATATGACCTCGATAGGCAGCCACAGTCTCTTGAATTTTCTGTCGCCTTTTTCTTGAGTTCCGTGATACTTTCAAGACGCTTGACTGTCTAATCGCCAGAGGAGCACATTCGTCGTGTTTTGGGCTGCATGGCTTCAAGCTTCAACGGCCAGTTGAGCCTGGCATTTCTGCGTACTACTCTGTTGCATTACTGCACTGTTTGTAGTACAGCTGTTCTGACTCTCGTTTGCAAAACCGGCTGCTTTTTTAGGTCCGGTGACCCTGTGGCGCAGTGTGTCGTCACGCTTCTGACCACCGACGGCCTCGGCTAGCCTTGGGTGAAAAGAGAACACAGCTCCAATCATCAATCTTACACCCTAGACCCGACACCTCAAAGCCGAGCCCCTAAACCCTACAAAACCTTGAATATAGTGCGCATGCATCTTACTCTCGCTCCTCACTCAGTCTTACCCCGACTTGTTGTGAAGCCTTGCCCGTCTTGTGCCAGTGTGAGAGTCTGAACCCTCATCCTGCCGCAGAGGTTTTTCCCCAGCAGTGCGAGAGAGCTTGAAAGCTTCATGAGTACATATACGGGAGTTTTGCGAAGCTGTGAATGTCTTTCAGGCTCTGTTTAGTAAGAAGAAAGAAGCCTACTGGCTCCGCTCTCTGATTTATACTACTGTCCAAGGTACTCAGGTGCCCCATTTTCCGAAACTCCCATATGTTGGGCCGTAGACAAGGCACCCTCAATTATTCGTTGCGGCCGCAAAGAAATTGTTTGCAACATCATACCAGATGAACCCTCGAGTGGATTCCAGAGCGTAGCAGCGCTCCGATGTCAGATTTTGCGAGCGCTGTCGTAACGACTGCTCAGGTCCACCCGAAGGCCTACTCTACAAGCGATGTCTAGTAAATATCCTTGGGCCAGTACTTAGGACCTAGGGCTATCTATACTACTACGAGCGCTGGCAGCACCAAGAACGACAGGCACAGCAGCACAACTGGCCGAGATTCCCCCGACAGGGGATCGGTTTGCGAACTCGCATAGCAGATATTATAAGGGCCTTGATAATTAGACTAGGGTTTTGGGGGCCCATNNAATCATTAAGGCCCCTACATTAGACAACCGAATGTTGAAAATGTAGCTCCGAGACTCCGTCCCGATGGGTTTTCTACTACTGCCTTGTGTAGTGTAGTATGAGTATGGCCGTTCTAAACAGGAGTTTCCGAAGATAAGGGGTACCTTATTTAGGGATCCCTATAACACCTATTTTCGGAAACCCTCAAATGATGCCGGAGGGCGCATGAAAGCGAAGTACTACTCAACATTTATGTGCAACGAAGCCCTGCTGTTTTTGCATTGCTTGCTGTAGCTATCGCCTGCTAGGATTTGCAAGTCGCGGGTGCCCAGTCTCTTCTTAAAATCTCGTCTAGCAAAAAGTTTCCTAGGCGCTGAATACGATGATCATTATTACTGTTAGTATGTTTCTTATTGTTATTGTTATGATTATGAACCGTGCGAGACATTGCACTGAATGCGGCAAAACCTGTGCAAGGGCAGTTTGAGAATTGCATCGCGTTAAACTTAAACCTTCAATCTGCGGGCTTGGGGGCAAGTGCAGGGTACAGAGCTTTAGGGTTCTAATATAGTGGCCTAAAATACTTACCTATACTATT